ACACTTTTGGCTGGGTCAGGCTCTGATACCATTTGTAACGACCCACTCCACCACATGGTATGATATTGTCCACTTTGGGCCTAAGCCCGTACGGTTTTGCTCTTGAGCTTCACCCCAAAAGGCCTCATACCAATTGGAGGTAACACACTTACATATAAGCACTTCACCTTTTCTCTACCCAGGCGATGTGCGATTGTGCACCAGTAACTCGCCAGTGTGGTAGCCTGACAGTGTCTCTCGCACCCGCCCACGGCACACCCGCCCACAAGGTCATCACAATCAAGGCCCAAAGCGGACAATATCATACCATGTGGTGGAGTGGGTCGTTACAAATGGTATCAGAGCCTGACCCAGCCGGAAGTGTGCCGACGGGGACGTCGGGCCTCCAAGAGGGGTGGATTGTGATGACCTTGTGGGCGGGTGTGCCGTGGGCGGGTGCAAGAGACACTGTCAGGCTACCACACTGGCGAGCTACGGGTGCACAAGTCCCACATCGCCTGGGAAGAGGAGAGGTGAAGTGCTTATATGTAAGTGTATCATCTCCAATTGGTATGAGGCCTTTTGGGGTGAAGCCCAAGAGCAAAACCGTGCGGGCTCAGGCCCAAAGCTGACAATATCATACCATGTGGTGGAGTGGGTCGTTACAGCAGGTGAAGGCCGAGCATCAGAGACCAGCCGGTTTGTTGCAACCATTACCTGTAGCGCAATGGAAATGGGAGCATATTGCTATGGATTTTGTGACAAGTCTTCCAAGGTCACGAAGGGGCAATGAGTCCGTATGGGTCATCATTGACAGATTGACCAAGACGGCTCACTTTTTGCCTATTAAGGCAACAGATGATGCAGAGAAGCTTGGTGTTCTTTATGTGAAGAAGATTATAAGGTTGCATGGAGTTCCAGTAACCATTGTTTCAGATAGGGATGCTAAGTTCACTTCGAAGTTCTTGGAAGGACTTCAAGCAGTGTTTGGCTCAGCGTTGCACCTGAGTACGGCATTCCATCCACAGACTGACGGTCAATCGGAGCGTACTATCCAGATTTTGGAGGATATGCTTCGGGCATGTGTGCTAGACTTGGGTGGTAGTTGGGAGGATCACCTTCCACTTATTGAATTTGCCTACAACAACAGTTATCAGGTGAGCATTCAGATGGCTCCATTTGAGGCGTTGTATGGTAGACCTTGTAGGTCTCCTGTTTGTTGGACTGAGGTAAGCAAGACAGCCGCCTTAGGACCTGACATTGTACTCGAGACTACTTAGAAGATTAAGTTGATAAGACAGAGGTTACTTACAGCTCAGAGCAGACATAAGAGTTATGCGGATAAGCGGAGACGATCGTTATCCTTTGAGGTGGGAGACCACATTTTTCTTCGAGTTTCTCCACGGAAGGAATTGATGAGATACGGGAAAAGTGGCAAGTTGTCTCCACGATTCATTGGACCATTTGAGATTTTGGACTGTGTAGGAGAGGTTGCCTACAGACTTGCTTTGCCACCACAGTTGGATAGGGTCCACAATGTTTTCCATGTATCGATGTTACTGAAGTACGAGCCAGATCCATCTCACATTTTGAGTTGGGTTGATGTAGACATTGATGAGGATGTTTCCTACGAGGAAGGACCAGTTCAGATTCTTGACACACAACAAAAGGTGTTGAGGAACAAGACGATACCAATGGTGAAAGTCCTTTGGAGACACCACGGAGTCGAGGAGGCTACTTGGGAGCTCGAACAGGAGGTTCGTTCCAAGTATCCAGAGTTGTTTTCTTATCCAAGTATGTCTTGATTTCGGGACGAAATCTTTTAAAGTTGGGGAGAATGTAATGTCTGTAAATTAAAAAGAAAAAGAAAAAGAGAAAAGAAAAGAATTTTTGTTAGGTCCCACTACTAAGCCTTAAGTGGCTAGAGACCATTTTTGGTCTCTCATTCTTTCTCTCTTCCCTTATCTATCTCTCTCTCTCAATTTTCTATTTCATTTTCTTTTCTTTTTCAACCCAATCTTTGAGGCAAGATTTATTCTTCGTTACTTGGCGGATTTAGGTGCCGTTTGAGGCAAAACGTAGCCCACGACGAGCTCTATGCATCCATACGAACAATTCCAGATTTGGTGCCCTTCTTGGAGTTCGAAATTCAAGACCCATTTTAAGGGTTTTGTGCAAATTTGAGGTAGGGACATCTTAATCCACTACATTCTTGTTTCATTGTAAGTTATAATCATTTGTTATGCCAAGCATGCTTAATTAGAAGTTAATTGTATCAATGATTATTTTAAATGTTGTCTAGAGAAATTCATGTATTTGAATGTGAGTTGTTTTATGTGTAAAGCATGCTTAAATGTATTTTAATGTATCTTAATGTGTTAATAATTACTTGGGAGATGTTGAACATGTTGAATGTTTAATTTTATGGTGTAGAATTTTAAATGCCATGACATTGAATGTATGGGACATAGATACATGCACATACCATTGGGTTTGCATGAAATGGGAGAAATTGTTCTTGAAATAAATATGGGGAATTTCAGGGAAGTGTTTTTGATGAAATGGTTTTATGCGAAACCCGGTCGCTGCGGGGTTACCAACGGGCCGGAGGTTAATATAGCCTAGAGGGGACTAGGGAGTCACCCTAGCGTGGTTGAGCTAGCTGGGCCCCATAATGACGCCGTGGAGTTACCAAGGGTCAGGGACACTAGCCAATCCTCCTCTCGTGTCGCGGCGGGGCTACCAAAGGGCGGGCTGTATTAACAGTTTGGAAATGATGTTTTGGATTATGAAAATGGGGAGCGACACTAGCATGCATTGCATCTCATACCATTGCACTGGATATACTTGACATTGAATCGTTATGCTGTATTATTTCTCGACATTGTATGATCCCCATTTCCCATTGGCCTATGCTTTGTTTGGATTCACAAGGACACAAGATGTGTGTCTTAAGTGTCACCTGCTAAGCTTTATGCTCACCCTACTATTTATATTATTTTTTTCAGGTCTTGGAAATGAACTAGTGGACGACAATCCACCTCAAGCTTGAAAATTGTTAGAAGGTCGTTTGCTATTTTGTATTTTGACCGTTCTATGTATATTCGTAGTTGCGGAAATGTAACTAAGTTAGTATTCATGGCCTTGTAACTTAAGAACGAACTTATCTTTTGTTTGATGTAAATGAAACTAGTGGAATTATGGTATATGTTTCCATGCAATTGTATCATGTAACGTTGTAAGACAGGAACTTTAAATAATAATCTTGTATTTTGGGACTGTAATTATGATAATTTAGATTAATTGGTGTGTGGATGTTCCACCATGAAAGAAACTATGTTAAGGTATAATGAACGGATGAATGGGATGTTAGATGATTTTATATGTTTTGTGTATTGGGACAGGTTGTTGAAGGCCCATTTTTAGGGGAGATTATGCCGAATTTTTTTTTAAATTTTGGCATCAGCTAGGGTCGTTACAAGAAATTTCAATATATTTATTCGTCTATACTAGTCTTTATGGCGCGTACTTAATGAAGACAATGGAGACAACACATATTACTACTCGTTAGGTATGGGACCTCTGTATGAGGCCTGGCATCGCTTCCTTCTCTATTGTTATCTCATTCAGTTGAGGCAAATTTTCCAAAAATAGACTTGAAAGCTTGTGGAACCCTGTACCGAATGATAACTGCTTTCCTGTATATGCAGTGGTAAGAATGAGGTTCTCTAAATTAGGCAGAGCTTGGATGTATGGAAGTGGGTCTTCATTCAGCCTCGACCAATGCAAACGCAAAAATGTGAGGGTTTGGAGTGAGGGAAACCAGCGAGGCACTTTCTCCAGTTTTCCGACTAAAACAAGCCTGTTAATCTGCGGCAGACCCGAGGAGAGCGCATCCATTCGAATGTGTTCATCTTCATCACTAACCATTACCACCAAGTTGCAAAGAAGTTTCATATTTCTGATGGAGATGCACAAATCTTCCTCGTCTGCTTCTCTCACCTTCGTAATGCTAAAGCTTGTGAGTTGAGTCATGTTCCTCACTTGTTTCAACAACCCTGTTTCTGCTTCTACCATGGACAACACTAGCAAGTTTTTTAGCTTACAAATATTTGACGATGCTCTTATGCCATATATTGAATCAAAGTCTAAATGATGTCCATAATTGTAGCGGTACAGAATTAAATGCCGCAAATTTTGCAACTTGGTAATCCCATCGGGAAGTACTTCTATCTTTGAGTCAGTAGTGTTTAAGGTTTAAAGATTGTGGAGTCTTCCAATGGACTTCAGAAGCTCCTCCACCTTCGTTCCTTTCAAGTTCAGGTATCTCAAATTGAAAAAATGTCCTAGTTCATCTGGTAATTTCACAATCGGTGCGTCTTGTAGATCTAAAACTCTTAACAATCTTAAGCCAGATGGCAATGTAGTCAAAGATGGAGAAATTGCTTTAACAGCAAAAATAAAAAGAGCGCGAAGATGAGACATACTCTTCCATGATTTGAGTAGTTCTATGTCATTTGATTGAATTGATAAACGACGCGCTCCATTCTCTTCTTGATCATTGTTGTCACTAGTCCCATCATAGAGTACTGTGTAGAAAATTTCTTTTTCTGATACTGATATAGCAAGCTCTCGCATAAGATCATGCATCTTAAAATTTTTTGGTTTTCCCGCAGAGTTCCTTCTCACAACTTGAAACATACTTCGGTTACAAAGTGCCATAAGATAACTCTCGGCTACCTCTTCAGGTGTTATCTTCTTGGCCTTTTCTACAAATCCTTCTGCCATCTAAAGTCTAATGATCCTTGTTCGTCGAATCTGGTAGTCTTCTGGAAAAAGACCGCAATATAAGAAGCAACACTTAAGTCGGTAAGACAAATCATTGAAGCCCAGCAGCAAGATATTTTTCACTCTTTCTAACTCAATGTTGTTGCTCAACATCCAATTTAAGCTTTCAGGAGCTTGCCTCCACTCCCCTTCTGATTTTTTTGAAGACATGACACCAGCCAAAGTCACAATTGCTAGGGTAAACCTTCACATTTTGCAGCAAGGTCACAAGATAAGTTCTCGAGTTCTTGAGGACAACGCTGATTGGTATGGCCTGGAAACGCTTTCATGCAAAAGAGGTCCCACGCATCAGGATTTTCCAGTGGTTTAAGATTGAGGATATGACTTTTAACTTCAAAAGAAGACGAAGCTATATCTTCTTTCCGAGTTGTAAGCAAGACACGACTTTCAAGTCCTTCATCTGGAAGTGAACATTTTATGTCCTTCCAAAGGTCGCTGCTCAATACATCATCCAGAACAATTACATACCTTTTTGGTCGTAAGTAGTTCAAAAGCATCTCCACCAGTTGTTTTTACCTTGTATAAGAAATAAAGATGAATAAGAAAGTGAAATAATGCACACACCGTAATATTGTTTCATTGTGTTAATTATATACACGTAAAATTAAGGTGGTTAAAATTGGGATACTAAGTAGGATCGATAAGGGGTTGATAGGATCGGATTGAGATTAAGGCTAAATAACCAATTCAGACACTCCAACAAAATTAATTAACATTAAAAGTACTAAGAGACAGTGACAAATACTAAATATCAATTTCTTGATTTCAACAAAAAAATCAGCATAACAATCATGCAAAAACGTAAACAATAAATTAAAGTAAAGCCTAGTATAGAGAGAAAAATACAATTTATTTCCCTAATTGTTTGAGCAATTTAGTTGAAAAGTTTACCTTTTGGTTAGAAAAAAGAACAAAATAGAGATAGAAAGAACAATGAAAAAAAATTAAGTCTTTCTTTATTTTTGTTTCAGAATTGACCAAGAATAGGTGGAAAAATAGAATTCTTTATGTTCATTGTATCGAAAAAGAAAGAAGAAAAGAGAAATTAAGAAGAATTAAAAAAAAATTGAGAAAATCTTGGAAATTGTAATCGATACATTTGAAATCCAGAGATCGCCTCTACATTTGACGTTCGTTTCTTTGTTTTTTGTTCTATTTTTTTTAATATAATTAGGCTAAAAAGACATTTTAGTAGAATCATTAGGATAGTAAGATTCTATGAGATTCTACAATCCTACTCTCAATTCTACAGATCCTACTAAGTTTCTACTTCTCAGAAATTTTACATGGGATCGAAATCGTTTTGGCAATTTATGATCGTAGAATCGTAAGATTCTAAGATCTAGAATCAGGATTTTAACAACTATGTCTATCTAAGTATGGTAAATAAATAAAAATAGATCCTAATTACATGATAAAATCAATTATCAAAAATGGGAAAAACTAATTACGTAAATTGCTGCTATAATTGAGAAAGTATTCATGTAAATGTTGTAGTGAATCACACAATTAAAGCTTGATTGATGAAGGAGTATCTCTAATACCTTATGGTGCTTGTGTCCATTGGAATTGCTTCATTTGATGCGCGGTAGAACTCCTCAATCATATGCCTTAGCAAGTCCTCAGCGTCGTAAGTTTGAGACACGGTGATCCAAGCAAAGCAATGAAAATGACGCTTGACATTTCCATGGTTGTAGGCGTTGGCAACAAGGGTGGACTTGCCTAAACCACCCATACCCACTACTGAAATAACAGTGCGTTGTGGTTCACCATCCGTCAACCATCCAACTAATTTCTCTCTATTAGCTTCAATACCGACTAGATCCTCATCTTTAAAGAAGAGGGCAGATTCAGCCTGGTTTTGCATCCATTTCTGATCCACATGTGAGCTTGATCCTTCCAAACAATCCACAACGCCATACGTTGTTTTCTTTCTGGAATGTCCTTGATCATTCTCTTGATGTCCTGCAACTCTGTGGCTATTAGGTGCCTCACCAATAGATTGTTTGGAACGCCAACAGTCTTGTAGAAAAGCCTTCTAAATTTACCCCCACTTTTTTGCTTGTTCATGTGATACATGAACTCATCTATAATGTTTTCAACCCTGTAGGACATGCCTCTCACTTCTTCTACCCAAGAATTCTCTACTTCTGTGAGACCGTCCTTTTTATAAAAATCTTGTAGAAAGGAACTCATCCATCCTAACTCATTCTTGAGGTTTTTGAGTTCAGCATCAACTCCCCCAATCAACGATGCTTCATTCTCAAGGACGGAGACTATTTTGCCGATCAAAAGATCCACTGTAGCAGAGGCCATGCTTGCCTCTACCTAGCTTCTCTTCTCAGCCCTTAATTTGTTCATACGCAGTCACAGTATTTTGTTTAATTGTCAAGCAGCCAACTGTGGCTGGCATTGTTTTCCTACTGACATTTTAAGGGAACACTGTTTCAATATTTGGATGATTGGTAGTTATTGTGTGGACCGGCCGACACACCAACTATATATATATATATAGGGTAAAGTGCAAATAACCCCCTTGAACTATGGGGAAATTTGCAACTAACCCCCTGAACTACCAAAAATGCAAAAAACCCCTTAAACTATACAAAAAAGTTGCAGATCACCCCATCCGGTGACCGGCCGTCCAAAAATGAGCGCGTGATTCACACGCGACAGACAAACTAAGTTTTTGGGACAATAATGCCCTTCTATATATGAAAATACCAAATTATCCTATAACCACCACCACCGTCGTCTACGACCACCACCACCTTCTGCAACCACCAACATAACCACCACCACCGTCCGCAACCACCAACATAACCACCACGAAACCCTCCTGAACTCATGCCAAAACATACCGTTAAACGAAATCAAACCCACCACCATCACTACCATCTCCATCGGCATCTCAACGGCACACCACCAAACCCAATCGAACCAGTACATAAACCCACAGCCACCACCCCAATCCCGCCACCACCATCACCCGTCATCACCAACCACAGCCCAACCTTCTCTCCATCAAACCCATCACACACCGTGAAACCAAACCCCCACTAACCCACTGCCATCACCCCCTTCAAACACAATCTCTGGTTCTCCCTCGAGAACGAAGGCAGCATGGAACTGCTACTCAGTGGCGTCGGATTCCGGTCTGATAGCGGAGCACTAGTATGGGCGGCGATGGATCCGTACGCGAGCAACGAAACTTTCAATTGCAGCAACGGCGATCTGTTCAAGTGGAAGCACTTGTGGAGAATGATTGCGGAGTAATTTGGGGTCGATGAAAACGAGAAGTGGGTTACCATCCCGATCGGAACAGGGAGGTTGGCGGATGAGGCGAAGCTCGGCCACTGTGCAGCTAAGCCGTAACCAGCCCATCGCCGCGAGTTAACTATGGCCGAACCAACCCATCGCCATTCAGCCCACCTTGCTCGCCGCTCCTCTCCACCATCCGAGCTCGTTCTAGCTATCACCGCAAGAGACGGTGGCGGGGCAGGCGCATGAGATGACGGCAGCGAGATCCCAGCGGCAACGAGGATGATTTGGGTTTTGACGTGTCGACTCCGCATCGTCACCATAATCGCCGACTTACCTCCTCTTTCGTCACCATAATCGCCGTCGCCGCCCCCATCTTTTTCCTTCATTTTCTTCACGATTCAATCTCCAGCCTGATGCTTCTCTCTCTCTTCAATCTCCAATGTAATATATATATATAAACACATATATATAAATTCAGTTTAAAACCAGAAATATATATATATATATATATAAACGCATATATATTTATAAAATATATATACCTTATACAATAGTGAATAATCATAAGGGCAATTCAGACTTTTTATTTTTCCGGTTAAGTCAGTCACCGGAATGGACTGGAATGCAACAAATTCATAGTTTAGGTGGTTTTTTTTAGTTTAGGGGGGTTAGTTGCAATTTGTCAATAGTACAGGGGGGTTATTTGCACTTTACCCATATATATATATATGTATATATATGTCTGTCATACAGATTTGAGTTAAGTATAAGCAGAAGACAATAATTGTGAAAAAAGAAAAAAGACAACAATAATTTATTGATTCATTCTGAGCCACTAAAATGTGCCTCCCATCTTTAATAATGACAACAGGTCACTTATGGCATCCAAAGTAGAATAATTGTACTTGTGGGGGCAAATGAAATAAAATATACCATCACCGGGTCCATGACGCAAATTATGGTGGAAAATTCTAGGCGTTATGAAATGGTTTAGATTAATTATAATGACACTTTTTGAAATTTTACAAAAATAATTCTTGAGAAAATAACTTGGCCATGTCCTTTTGCAATCACTATGTAAGGCCATGATAATGCATTTTTAATTGAGAAAACCGCCAAAGCTACTATCATCAGAAACCAACAAATTGGGGAAATAAAAAAAAACAACTTTTCTTTAAGCTTGAATTCTCAATCTCAACTTTAATCATCAGTTGAGTTCATTAGTAAACTTGTCTTTAAGCATGAAAAGTCATCTCAACTTTAATGAGCTGTGTTCATTTGTAGACTTGGGAGATATGTTGAAAAGAAGGTATCCGATGTATAATTCAAGAATATTATATATAGATAGAGAGATTGATTATGTTCATACTTCATAATCTTATTGGCGGTTTTATTTATTTATTTATTATTAGTATTATTTTTTGTTGTTGTCGTTAGTACTATCCTATACATAAATATCTATGCTTCAATTCACTCTCCACACCAATATAAGTGAGATTGCAAGTGTCTAACTGCTGTTAAAGTCGCGGCTTAATATAATTTGAGGTCTTACACCAAAAAAAAAAAAAAAAATTTGACCTATGTAATATTTTTTTCTTTCGCTATTCTACATATATTCTTCTAGTTTTGTTTAGATGACTTGTTTCTTCATTTGTTGAAATTTCTCCTAAATTTTGTTGTTATATTTTGATTATTAATTGTAACACATTGATCCAGAGCTACTTTTTAAGATTGAATTAGTGGTTTATCTATTCTCCTCTTCTTTTTAAGATTTTCATATTCGAATTCATGCTTGTTAGTAGACATATTCAATAATATAAATAAAAATGTGTCACTAAATAATTTAAATAAAAGAATAATGAAACCTAACCTTAGAACAATCCGGTCCAATGCTAAAAAAATATAAAGTATTTCAATCATTTTATTCATGTTTTATATCTTTCAAAAAGCTCATGGCACTCAAGTAAAAAGGATTGTATAAGGGGTTATACACTCTATATGCATGCCATAGAAATATTTTTAACTTGCAACCCTTGTATTATTAAGGGGAGATAAGAGATATGGGGAGTCTGATATTATGAGTGGAGAATAGAGAGAGAGAGAAAAAAAAAAATATATACAAATTTAAAATAAAAAAAATGGAAAGTTTTGTCATTTCCCACAATTTACTACTGACATTTTTAGGGAACACTGTTCCAATATATGCATGAATAAATTCGATGGCAATGGGGCGGGGCGGGGATCTCATTCCCCATCCTCGGTAATTTTTTTCATCCCCACCCCGCCCTCCAATCCCCATCCCCGCCCTGCAATCCCTATCCCCGTTTAATATAGACTATAATTTTTTTAACAAATAATTTTTCTTATTTTCAGAAGTATGTTTATATATACTTAATATAATTTAGTAATACATCATAATATATAAGAGTATTTTAGTAAATGTACATCCTAAACAGTGGGGCGGGACAGGTTTACCATATCCTCGTCCCCATCCCTGCCGGGTTTTCAAAAATTACCCCCATCCCTATCCCCATCCCCGTTTGCATAAAAGGATCCCCAAACCCGCCCTAAACGGGGCAGGGATTGGTAGATATTGTGGACACATGCAGCAACTATATACATACATATATATATATGCGTGTATGTGTGTGTGTAAGTGTGTATGTCATACAGATTTGAGTTCATGCATAAACTGAAGACACCTATAATTGTGAAAAAAAAAAAAAAGACAACTATAATTCATTGATTCATTCCAAGCCACTAAAATGTGTGTCGCATCTTTAATAATGGCAACAGTTCACTTATGTTCTCCAAAGTTGAATAATTGTACTTATGGGGGCAAATTGAATAAAAGATACCATCACTAGGTCCACTGACGCAAATTATGGTGGAAAATTCTAGGCGATATGAAATATTTTGGATTAATTATAATGACACTCTTTGAAATTTTACGGAAACAATTTTTTTTAAAATAACTTCACCATGCCCTTTTGCAATCACTATTTAAGGCTATGATAGTGCATTTTTAATTGAGAAAACTACCAAAGATAGAGAGGGGTTGTTGTTATTATATCAGTGGGGTTATCTTTTGGTGGATGTGGAAAGTGATTGTCAGTCCATTGTCAATTTCAATCCTGGGAATCAATTTCAATCCTGCTGTTTCCTTTACCTCTACTGTTCTTGATTATATCCAAGTTTTGTTGAAACAAAATTTGGCATTAGTTTTGGCTTGGGCTCCGAGGTCCTGTAATAAGGTGGCTTACCAACTGAGTAAATGCGCTTTAACTAAAAAATGTATGGATCTGCATTGGCAGATTTGGCCTTCATGGCTTTCTGATGCAATCGTGGAGGATTTATCCTCTCTTGTTTCCTAATATAGTTTCTGCTTCTCTCTCTCAATCAAAAAAAAAAAAAAAAACTACCATAGATACCATCATTGAGAAACAAACAAAAGGCATTGACTTGGATAAATTAAAAAACAACTTTTATTTAAGCATGAATTATCATCTCAACTTTAAGGGTAATATGAAAAAAAAAAAAAAAAAAAAAACCCCTGAACTTTACTCTCTCTCCCAAATAACCCCCTTAAACTAAGTAAAGGCCCTGAACTATTCAAGTTGTGCAATTTAAGGACAAAATTAGAAGTCACAGGCATCATCTGAGTTGACCAAAAATATTAAATTACCAAATTGACTTTAATTAAAAGGACGTGCTGTTAATGTTATTGTCTATTCCATTGCTGACTTGTCAAGTAAAATTTCAACAGCCAATGATATCATGACAACTCACCACCTTATCAACAAGTTTCACCCATCCTTATCATTTTAGCGCCAAAAAAGTTTTTCAATACACATCTTAGCGGCAAAAAAAATTAGACCCACTCTTTTACTATGAGGTTGACCTCTAAAACACAATCTGTAGTTACAATAGCTCCTTCAATTGTAACATCGGTACTGGACGATCACTCCTCGAGCTGTGTAACGGGAGGGTAACTCTAATCAACTAAATAATTGTAAATTGTTTGTTATTCTGGTTTGAAATCAAAGTATTGT